TTATTCAATAGCCTACAAGTTATTTTCCAGGCTCTCCCAAAACCAGAGCTATTGTCTGCCACAAGACAATTTTCTTATGCACTTTACCTATACAGGAGATAAAAAGCTGTGCAGAGCCAACTAATAGGAAAAGCTGACAAGACAGAGGCCTTCCTGTTCAGAACCCCCTAGTATCCAAGTCAAGACAAGCAGACCTGCCTATGCAGGACATGGACTTTCTCTACAGGGCAAACAGAAGAGTTTCAAACGTGAAAGAACTGACCCAAAGAGCTGATGATTTTCTAATTGAAGGGAAATGCTTGTGTATAACCTACCAAAACCCCCACTTATTCAGGTAGACAACAGGAGCCAAAGAATCAGTTCAAACACACATCCAGCCTTATTCAGTCAAGCAGCTTTAGAGAAACCCAGGTGAAAGCACTTTTTCCCCAAACACCTCAGGTTGTTGGGGCTGTGAAGAGGGAACAAAACACCAAGGCGAAGGGTTTGGGCACACACAGTACAACTGCATTTCCGAGGGGATGCAATCCTTCTGGTATGCACTAGACTGTGCCTGAAGTATCCCTCCAGTTGATCTGCCTTATGAAAGAAGTTCAAAATACAACCTTAAAATAGATTCCACTTTCTATAAATTGTTTTATGTCAGAAGCAGAAATTAGTCATTTGCAGTAAATGATTGTACGTCAACACTTCTCCATCCAAAGAAATCTCTCTGCACCTACTTGTGGAGGGTGAGGAGGCAGGGCACAGACAAAAATAGATGGAATGAAATAATTAGTTTTAAAATTTATTTGCAGCATGGTAACTTAAAGACTGGTGCGCATACTATTGGGACTCTTCAAATTGTGTTTACACATCAATATGTCAGTAAGAAATTACTTGTCTGTATTGTGAAGTGGCTAATCCAAATCAGGTAAAGAAAACACTATATATGTATAGCTTGTTTTAAACATTCACCCCAAATTGCAATAATGTTAAATACAACATACTTGTTAAAGCCAATTTTATTTTCCAGCCCAAGCCATAGGATCCTTCTGGGATATTTTCTATCTTTTTTCACATAAAAGTCTTTTAAAAACCCATAATGAATTAATTATATGTGGAATTTTCAATATCTCAAAGGGCTCAGCTCAGCAATGCCCCTGGATTTCAAACATGTATTTTATTATAGGTTTGTTAAAGGATATTAAACCCAACTTATTTCTTTTTCTCAATTATATCAATATTTGACCTTTACCATACTGTTTAGTGAAACAGTAACGTGCTATTAAAACATATAAAAGACATCTCAGTTCTGTGAAGCAAACATTTATCAAATAAAAAATGGGTAACACATTACATGGTGAAGAGGGATACGGTGATATAACTACAGAGACCTCCTCGGTGGTACTACCTCTGCAAAGCGCGAACCACATTCTGGGGACACCAAATAAACTCCAAACCAGGCTTCTTGCATAGCTTCTTCATCAGAAGGTTGTCACCAAATTATGCTAGAGAGAAATACAGTGAATTGTCCAAAACATTCAAGTAGCAAACCAAAGGAATTGTAACAACTCAAATTCAAAGCCTTTTTCTTATCACATCGCATTCAACATTTGTCTCCTTTGTCACTTTCTTTTGGCACAACAAGTTTGGGGGATTTTTTCCCAAGCTGGTTGTGGTGTCAATTATCTTGCTTTAGTTTCTCTTATTACTTTGCAAATATATACAAAATACAACAAAGTACAAAGGAATAGACAATAATGTACAGTTCTTGCAAAGTGAATTCTGCATCTGTGTGGAGACAGCAGAGCACAGAAATATTTTAGTATAGGTGGAGACTTGCGTTACTGAATGGTGAGAACAGGAAGTCAAGTGAAACAAAATTTAAAGCAAGCAAACCACAGAGATTGGCCTCATTAAAGAAAATCCTATTAAAAGCCTTATCAACTTAAAGCCAGGCAAAGAAAGCATCTTCTGCTAACAGCATTACTGCTGTGACCCATGACTAGAAGTCTACCACATGCCAGTGTCCTGGCCCCAAACTTTTCTTCACCTGATAATGCTTATTCTTTTCAGAAGGAAGAGGGGCATGTAGTAATGCCTGAAAACTGCAACTGCAGAAGTACATACATCTCAAAGTTAACAGTATGGGGACCAGTAATTTCAACTCTCACTTCTTTGGGTACATTACTGTGTTGACAACCAAGTACCATTTCTGGCTTTCAAAATTGGTTTCACTTCAGAAAATAATTTTACCAGAAGATCTGTTTGCAAATTTGACAATTTTCTGCACAATTGAGGAGGGAAAGCCATTATTTCTGCTAGATACACCTGACATGACAATTGAAAAGTGCTTGCTATTGATTGTAGTAACACAGTTTACATTGTCTTCCTTCCATGACACCTACTTTGACAAGGACTTCTAAGCAAAGTGAGCTTACGTATTGATTTCATTTTGCCCTGCAGTTTTGTCCTGCCAGAAAGTGCTCTGTAAGTTTAATTCTAAAACGTAACCACCATGGCTTGAAGAGACCAGAAAGCAAACAAAAACCCACAGAAAGGGGGAACCCAGTGTTAGAACTGTGTTTGTTTTTATAACGCCCATGATTCTTTTCATAAAACTACTCTTGTGTGGCATTGCCCCAAATACGCAAATCTCAGACATTTGGTTTGAGTAGTAGTTCATCAGAAGACAAACAAAAGACTGGGTATCTTAATTTGGTAAGGAAGACAGTTTAAAGGCATTAGTCTCTCTTTTAAAAAGGGAAAACATGTCCAAAAAAACCCCCAAACCAGACAAACTAAAATTCACTGCCACATTACTACAGCATAGCTCCAGCGTATCTTAAGGAGAAGATAACTTCCAGCGCTAACAACAGAAATCTCTTCCTACTTTTTGTAACAGCAAAGAAACTCGAGCTATCCCTTTTAAGGTAATTCTTCAGAAATTTACTTTTATTGGTTTTGAGCTCCCCAATCAAAGTAATGTATTTTAAATAACTTCTGAATAAGCAGCTCAGAAAATCCAGACTGTAGATAGCATCCAAACAAATTCTTTTGGTTCTCCAACACAAGAGCAGTAGATCTCCATTAAACTATTTCACACCATTTGCTAAGAGCTAGTATCACATCTCCACAGCCACCCCTTGCCCTCCAATCCCACCAAGGGCAATTACATGTGACTTCTAAAAGCAAGGAGTTAAGTATTACCAAGGAAACGATGATTGTCATAATGCAAATGCAAAAGAATATTAAGGCCAGTGAATAATAACTGAATATTTATAAATAACACTAACTTCTATTAAAGCTTGCTTTTCCAAATATAACCAGAACAAAAGCACAACAATTCTGTAGTGTACCAAGTGTATATTTCAATTTACTGTATGCAGTCTAACAACAAATTTGGTCATAATTTACCAGATATACATAAATGATTTAAGTAGTAAAAGAAGATTCAGTTCCAAGAGAATAAGATCATACCTTGAGGGGGGGGAGAAGGGAAAACCAAAATTAAAAAACAAAAAAAAAAAAAAAAAAACCACAAAAAAAAACCCCCAAAAAAACC